TATCAATAATTAACTTGACAGAAAATCGTGTTTTAGGTGTATCTCCGATTGGGAAAGCTGTCAATTAAAATGACATATTTGAAATGAGCATGTCCAACTTTCTAATGTACTTATATATTTCATTTTTTTCGAGTAAGCAATTTATATATCTATATTAAATTCATAATTAATTAAATTAATATGAAATAATGAGAAGACTGCTAATTTCATTTTCGGTCTACAAGTATGAACAAAAACTTTAATGAAAAAGATATTTAACATAAAGAATATTTAGATAATGTTTAAAATTATTTTATAAACATTTGATATATATGTTTGGCCCAGCAGTGTTGAGATATATAGTCCCACATTGGTTAGATGTGCAACTAATGTGCCCTTTATAAGGCCTTGGGCACTCCCACCCTTAGAGCTAGCTTTTGGGGTGGTGTATTCCAAGGTTTTTTACATGGTATCAGAATCTCACCATCCCCCACTTTAAAGTGAAATAAAAATAAAAAGCACAAAAAAGGTAAACCAAAAATTTGGACCCGTGCAATTCCACGCTTCTAGCCCAAATGGCTCTTGCGTGAGGGGGCTTGTTGAGATATATAGTCCCACATTGACCTTTATAAGACCTTGAGTACTCTCACCCCTTGAACTAGCTTTTGAAGTGGTGACCTCAAGCTTCTTAACATTTATTTACAAGCAAATCATTGTGCCACCAAAGGTGAGGCGGTTCGATTCAAAACTCTCCCCACAAGAAGTTAGCCGTATAATATTTTGAAAAAAAATAAAAATTCTTACGTACATAAATAAATTTCAACAAGTTTTATACAAGGGTTCCTCGAATTTGCAGCAATGACATATAATTTTGTCTACTACAGACATAACAAATTGGAGTCACTTGTTTAAAAAGAAAATGAAAATTTCCAGGATCTGCATATGAATTTTGAAAGATATAAAAAAGTTTGTGTCTGTAGCAGACAAAAGTATTTCTGCCACAAATCTAGAAATACTTTTGTCTTTATTTAATTTGATTCCAAATTATTAACATATACTAGAAAAAAATTGGTGTCAAATAAAATAATTCGAGATTCAATATTGTGAACTTGTTTTTTTTTTATCCCTCAAACTTTCTAGATCTCTGATTTTTCTCTTTTGTTTCTTTGTTTTTAGCTTTTCTTCTATAATTGTAATCTTTAAAGCTTTCAACTTGGCTTAAGGAGACAGAGAGCAAATGAAGTCAGTGTCATTCCTTGACTTTAAAACCCAAAGTTCAATTGGTCAGATTCGCCAAGTCCTTTTCACTAAACACTTCCAAATAAGTTAGGTTTGCTTTTAGTCCACAAAACATGAAACGTGAAAAACACTCACCCCTATATTTTAGTTGGCCTACGACATATAATTTCTTTATTGCGCACTGCTTATCAAAAGGGTCGACGTTCAAGATTGCGAATTGTGCACAAACCGTAAAAATGAATAAGTGGAAGCTGATATCTCTCTGCTTATCATTTTGCGCATATCTGACTCAGCGTTATAAAATCTTTTAACGAGATTTTGTGGGTCCAGTAAGCTAAATTAGGAGAAAAAAAAATTATGTGCTCATTTCTTATATTTATTAAAATTTATATGAATTCTATTTTATTTTATTTTTCTCTTCCTTTGAAAGAAGTGGATCCCATCTGTAGGAGATAATAGTTATCTCTTACTGCATGAGAAATTCATTATCCATAAAAAAAATCTAAAAATTTATTATTTTAAAATTTTGAGTTGAGATATGACATAAGATTTTTTAATTTTTTCCCCTATTTTAGAGTCCCTTGGATAAACAAGGAAGCTTATCATTTTGTGCGGAGACCTGACTCAGCAGTCTTGGAACTTAATTTGAAGGAGATGGTGTGGTTTCCACTCTCTTGGATAAACACAACTTGACTACGGCAGTAAAATTAAAATGCGCAACGTAAGCCAAATTTACCAAATGTGGTGTTACATAAGAAGGAAGAGACGTAAAGCTACCAAGTCCTTGGGTGTTATTAGTCTAAATGTTAGGTTGCAGTTTAATAGTTTATTACGATGCTGGTAGGCGTTTAATATACTCCAGACTCCAGAGCCCCTATTTTTTTTTTCCTTTTTTTTCTTCTTTTCAATACTCAATGTCTCATTAACAGTTAATTCTGAAGATTTTCAAAATAAAAATAAAGTTTTAAATACTCGAAAGGCGCCGGCTCCCTTCTTACTGACAGCACAGCTACGTGCTGGCATAAGACTCAAGTTGAGAAAGAGGGCTAGGCCAAGGATAATAGGAGGGCAGGTGCACTATTAAGCGGTAGTGATTGTAACTTTCGATGAATTTCCCATTTATCACTTGACCAAATACGATCGTCCAACTCCTATAGAACCTATCACTATAATACCCCTAGGGGTAGGGCTAAGTGGAGCGAAAAGGGTTTTCCATGAGATGGGAAATAAAAACGATTAAGGCTAAACGGAGCGAAAAGGGTTTCTCTGGGAGATGAAAACGATTAACCCCACATGGGGTTTGTATTCATCATCCGACAGAAATAAAAAAAAAAATTCTACAAATACAATATTTTATGGGACTCGCATTTTTTGAAGCAAAGAAAAAAAAAGAACTAAAGCAAGAAAACAAATTTCTATAACACGACAAATTCACTTTTTCTACAAAAATAACTTTTATAAAACCTTTATTAAATTTGAGCAGGGATGTGTACAATACAGCTCGGCTCGATTTTCTATGCCGAATTGAAAAAGTGATTTGGTTCGAACAAATTGAACTATTTTGAAAAGTAATTTAGTTCTTGAATTGATTCGATGAAAATGATTTAATTTTTCAATCGGTTTGAAAAAATGTGATATGATTCAATTTTGTTTTTTTGGTTTTTTTTCTTAATTCTACATGTGGATATGGTTTCATTGGATTTTAGCTCAAATTGAATCTAATCAATAAAATGATTCAATTCTTAAACCGAATCGGTTTTGAAAAGAATAATTTGAGTTTTAAACTAATTTGAAGAAGATGATTTGGTTCTTAAACAAATTTGAAAAAATATAATTTTTTTTTATGCTTTTGGTTTATTTTTTTACACATCCCTAATTTTGAGACTTGAAGTAAATTTTTTGTTTTATCTTCTAAAGTCTTAAATTCCACAATATGAGTTTAATTTAGTCTTAAATAGAGAATAATTGTTTTAAAGAGATTTGTTGGTATTAAAATGAATTAAAGTAATAAAGTGCACTGCGCGCATATTAATTTTTCAAAAGAAGCCAATGAAAGTTTTTAAGATAGAGAAAATGAGAGATTGATTTAAACAACTTTTAAGGGAAAAGTTTAATTTACACTTTAATATTTCCATAAAATGTTTCAATATATTTCTTTTATTTTTATTATTCTTTTTACAACATTAAATTTTGATAGTTTGATATAAAGAGTTGAATAGATTGAACATGAATAAAAAAATTCATGAATTATTGTTCCATCTTCTAACAATATTGATTTGTTAGCACTTAAAAATGTAAGAATGGGCTTGATCAAGGTATTTGGGCTATATAAGTTACATATATCCAAACTTCATCTGTATAGCTTATCTGATTATTCAAGATTATATACTGCAAATAATGGGCCATTCCAAATGAGCCTAAAAAAAAAATAATTCAAGAAATCCAATGGACCTGGGGCTAGATTTTTGGTTATTTAGCTTATTGAAGCTAATCAGCTGAAGATCAAGTTTAAACTGTTGTCTTAATCAAGTTGAAGAGGCTATAACTAATTGTTCTGGAGTGATATGTTAAGTCACATACTCAAAAGATCCAATATCTCTGTCATGCTATATTTACATGACTACAACTCTTCTAAAAAGACATATCAAGCCACTTCTACCAACAGCCAATTGAAAGACTTTGCCGCCTCACTCACATGTTAGGAAAGGAAATTTCTAAAATGCTCCCGGACTATCAAATTTTTGGTGTTCTTTTTTTCTTTTTTGCTAAAAAAAAAAATACTCTTAAACCTTTTTCTTTTTTTATATTTCTCTTTCAATTTCTTTTTTGGCACCGGGCTCCCGGACCACGAAAGAAACACTCATTAGGAACAATCAGGGGTATTCCCAAAAGCAGGTTATCTCCCATTATAAATATCAATATTTTAAGTACAAATTACACATTTTCTCCTATATACTTAAATCTTTTTGTACAAAATTTGACTTAAGCGTTGGAGTATCTTGCAAGTACTTACTCCATCTTATTCCACTATAAGTCTATGGAGGTGCAGCTTCAAACCAACCCCAAAGGATCTTCTGCAACAACATCATGGCCAACCCAGATAATTCCAAACTGATCACTAATTAAATTCTACATGACAACCATTTTTCATGTAAATAGAAATAAGGTTGGAAGGTTAGGCTTATAATACAAATGTTGAATGAGCATATCAAGATAAATTTGTAAGTTTGATTAGGTTAAAGAATGTTCAACTACAAAATAACCACTGCCTTGTTAAAATAGGGATAAAGTTTAAATAGTGAGTTTGTAAATGAGTTCTTCAACTAACTTAAAGCAGTATTTTTTATTTCAAAAGTAAAGGAACTTAGTAATCATGGCAAAAACTAACACAGTTCATGATCCTACGTTCAAGTTTTGCCCTTTTTTTTTTCTTTTTTTTTTTAGTACACAAGTTTTGCCCTTTTTAACTAGTCATTGTACATACAAAATGTACACATGACATCTAATCAATCCAACACATTTCAGCATCTTTTAACTTTATTTATAGCTTTCCTTTGCATCATGTCATTTACATAATTTTTTATTTATATATTTATTTTTATCAAATTTGATTATTAACCTATCTATTTTACTATTTTATTTTACACAAAGTACGACCGATGTACTCTGTGTAAATTACTAAAAGGACACGACTTGTATTCTTTTGAACCACAGACGCTAAACCCTTTTATAATTAATTATTTGTGAGATTGGCATGATGAAAATAACGCTGGCTCATGCCGGAAACTTGAAAACCAAATGCATGGTTCGGACACAGTCCCTCTCGAAGAAAAACCAATGTCTCTCTTTCCTAAACTTGTGTTGTTCCATCAAGCAACTCCATCAAATCCAAGCACAAATCCACGTTTGTGGTCTTTACCGAGACACGTACTTGATCTCAGAACTCGTTTACGTTTGCTCCCTCTCTCCCTTCAAGAACCTCAACCATGCGCGAACACTCGTTCACCACTTCGCCAACCCATCACCGATTTCGTGGAACATTCTCATCAGGGGTTACGCCACAAGCGATTCTCCCATTGAAGCCTTCTGGGTATTTCGTAAAATGCGAGAACGAGGAACCAAGCCCAACAAGCTCACGTTTCCCTTCCTCCTCAAGTGCTGTGCCATAGCTGCTGCACTTGGTGAAGGAAAACAGGTGCATGCGGATGCTTTGAAGTATGGTTTCGACTCTGATGTCTACGTTGGTAACAATCTGATCACCTTTTATGGCCGTTGCAAGAAAATTCTGGATGCGCGAAAGGTGTTTGATGAAATGCCTGACAGAACACTTGTTTCTTGGAACTCGGTTATTACTGCTTGTGTTGAGAATCTTTGGTTACGTGATGGAATTGGGTATTCTGTGATGATGAGGGATTCTGGGTTTGAGCCGGATGAGACTACCATGGTGTTGTTGCTGTCTGCTTGTGCTGAATTGGGTTACCTGAGTCTGGGAAGTTGGGTTCATTCCCAATTGATCTTGAGAGGGATGGTTCTGAGTTGTCAATTGGGTACTGCTCTCGTTGACATGTATGCCAAGTCTGGATCTGTGGGTTATGCTAGGCTTGTTTTTTCGAGAATGGAAAAGAGAAATGTGTGGACATGGAGTGCAATGATATTGGGGTTAGCACAACATGGGTTTGCTGAGGAAGCCCTTGCCCTATTTGCCATGATGAGTAACAATCAAAACATATGCCCGAATTTTGTAACCTATCTTGGGGTTCTATGTGCCTGCAGCCATGCCGGGATGGTGGATGAGGGTTACCGATATTTTCATGATATGGAATGTGTCCACGGTATCAAACCCATGATGATACATTATGGAGCCATGGTTGATATCTTAGGCCGTGCTGGCCTTCTTAGAGAAGCTTATGACTTTATACAGAGCATGCCTATTGTACCTGACCCAATTGTTTGGAGGACGTTGCTTAGTGCATGCAGTGTTCATGATGTTCATGACCATACTGGGATAGGGGATAAAGTAAGGAAGAGGTTGCTTCGGATGGAGCCAAGGAGGGGAGGGAATTTAGTTATTGTTGCTAACATGTATGCTGAAGTAGGGATGTGGGAGAAAGCGGCAAATATGAGGAGGGTCATGAAAGATGGAGGGACGAAGAAGATGGCTGGAGAAAGTTGTGTTGATTTAGGTGGATCCATTTATAGGTTCTTCGCTGGGTATGATTCTCACCCAGATTTGATGCCTGTCTATCATTTGCTAGATGGATTGAACCTGCACTTGAAGATGATTTACTAATTGTTGCAGAAGTTGCTCTGGATGAATTATACTTGGTGCTGAATTTGAGACAAGAATAGGATGAATGAAAGTTCTTCTGACATTTTGTACAGTTGGTCCTTTTGTTAGTCAACATTTAGGGGCAAAATATGTTAGCAACAATAACTAAATTCCCTCCCCACCTAAATCAACAAAATTTCTCTCTTTTTTCTTTTGGTAAAAGAATTTTGTCAATTGCTCTCACAATAACAGGTTTAAAGACAATAAGAATAAAAATTAATAATTTAAAGGTTATATTAAATGATATATAAATTTAAGAAAAAAACAATGAAAGCAACAAAATTTAAGTTGCATTTATGCCAACTATTCAAGTACGTTGGATTTGGTTCTACCTTGAACCGCTTCCACTTAATTGTTGTAACTTGTAAGTACTCAATGCAACATAAATTAACAGAAGAAATAATAAACTGATATGGGAGCAACCCAAAAAAATTTGTGAACTTAATCCATTCTCCAGAAAAAGCTAAGTCAAATAATATCTGCTGATATTAGCATATTTTAAAATAAGAATAGAATAAGGTGGCAGCACTTGAGCCTATGATGCCCCAACCAAAACATTAGTGTATCAGTCCAACTTTGAAACAATCCACACTACCACTTCAGCTTCTTCCAAGTGTGTGGTTGTGACATGTGATCGCGTGGGGTACATAGATGATATCTTCTACAGTCCTTCTTCTATGTTCGCTTTTTATCTGGGACAATCTTGTCCATTGATATTAGCATTTCTAAACAAGCAAAGAAAGGATAACAAATAATATAGAGGGAGAGGAACATGGTAGACCCTTCCTGAATGAAAAATAGTACAAGAGGACAAAAATCTTACTAAAGAAAATTCCAAATTGAAGTACCAGAAGCTTCCCATTTCTCTCTTTTTTAAACCAAACTCTGATCCTTCCCTCCAAATCAATTTTTGCACACTACTCAAGCCACTGAAGAAAGGGTGCAACACAAACAATCCCTTGGATTACTTAATCACTGCAAATTCAAATTAGGTGACTGTTTGAAGTTATAAAATGTCTACTTCACTATCTGTGTCAGTCTCCCCCACTTTAATCTACAAGCCTCAAGACCTTTCCAAGGACACACACCTCCCAAAAGCCACCAACAGAGAGAATCCATATCCAAAATCAGTGTTAGATATCAAAGTCAGCAAGAGGAAGCTATTATCATCAACAGTTATTAAATTGGGTACAACTTGGGTTGGGCTCTCTTTTGCTCAGCCTACAAGAGCTGAGCCAGAGAGCCCTATTGCTTCCACCTCAAGTAGAATATCATACTCAAGGTTCTTGCAGTACTTGGATGAAGGTGCTGTCAAGAAGGTGGATCTCTTTGAGAATGGCACAGTTGCTATTGCAGAGATATACAATCCAACCTTGGACAAAATCCAAAGAGTGAAAATTCAGTTACCTGGGCTGCCTCAGGAGTTGCTTAGAAAAATGAAAGATAAAAATGTTGATTTTGGTGCTCATCCCATGGATGTGAATTGGTGGCCTGCAATACTTGATTTATTGGGAAATTTGGCCTTTCCTTTGATATTGCTTGGCTCTCTATTCTTGAGGACATCTACAACTAAACCTAATGGTGGCCCCAACTTGCCCTTTGGACTAGGAAGGTATGGTATGGAATTTTGGCATGTGACACTTCCATAGCTATAATCTAGTTATATTGATTAACTTCCTTGACATATTGTTTACATTTTCATCATCTTTGCCTCAGGAGTAAGGCAAAATTTGAGATGGAACCAAATACAGGAGTGACATTTGAGGATGTAGCTGGAGTTGATGAAGCCAAGCAAGATTTCCAAGAGGTTGTTGAGTTCTTAAAGACCCCAGAGAAGTTTTCTGCCGTTGGAGCAAAAATTCCCAAAGGAGTTCTTTTGGTAGGGCCACCTGGAACTGGAAAGACATTGCTGGCCAAGGCAATTGCAGGAGAAGCTGGGGTTCCTTTCTTTTCTCTATCAGGGTCAGAGTTCATAGAGATGTTTGTAGGTGTAGGGGCTTCAAGAGTGAGGGATTTGTTTAATAAGGCCAAAGCAAATGCACCTTGTTTAATATTCATTGATGAGATAGATGCTGTAGGGAGGCAGAGAGGTACAGGTATTGGTGGAGGGAATGATGAAAGAGAGCAAACACTGAATCAGTTGCTTACTGAAATGGATGGCTTTACTGAAAACACTGGTGTCATAGTGATTGCTGCCACTAACAGACCCGAAATTCTTGATTCAGCATTGCTTAGACCTGGGAGATTTGATAGGCAGGTAAGCAAGCTACTTTCTCTACTTCTTTCAAATTCCATTATGTTGAAGTTGAAGCAATGTCAAGAAATAGGTGAATAATTTTTGTGATTGTTCCAATAGGTCACTGTTGGATTACCAGATATAAGAGGGAGGGAAGACATACTGAAAGTTCATAGTAGCAACAAGAAGCTTGACATGGATGTCTCTCTTAGTGTCATTGCCATGAGAACTCCGGGGTTCAGTGGTGCAGACCTAGCAAACCTCATGAATGAAGCCGCCATTCTAGCCGGTCGAAGGGGCAAAGAGAAGATCACAATGGAAGAAATTGATGACTCCATAGATCGCATAGTAGCAGGGATGGAAGGAACCAAGATGACTGATGGAAAGAGCAAAATTCTGGTGGCTTACCATGAAGTTGGACATGCTGTTTGTGCGTGAGTACATCAAATACTTACTTGTTCATGCTGATAGGAAAAATTAAAAAACATTCAACACTTTTGAGAGTGGCATTGCTATATGTAAATGAATCTTTTATACAGCTTTGAGGGAAGAGAAAGTGGGAGAATCTCCAATGTGGTTTATGTACAATACAAACTAAACCACATTAGAAGAGTCTCACATTTTTTCCACACACACCATTGAATGGAGACCTTTACACAAGGCTCTTCATACCATGTTAAGATATATAGGAACCAAAATACAATGGTAAAAGTTCTCCATTCAATGGTTTGTTTTACAGTGTACATGAGAGGTCTTTATATAGACTTTAAAGGAAGAGAGAGAGTGAGAATCTGGGACTAGAGAATTTGTAACAACACAAACTAAAAACATATACTCAACACTAAATTTAACAGTCAACACTTCAACTTGAAGTCTAAACTGAAGTTTGCACTTTTCAGGACACTGACCCCAGGGCATGATCCAGTACAGAAGGTCACCCTAGTTCCCAGAGGCCAAGCCCGGGGCTTAACATGGTTCATGCCAGGTGAAGATCAAGCTCTTATCTCTAAGAAACAACTATTTGCTAGAATTGTTGGGGCTCTAGGGGGTAGAGCAGCAGAGGAAGTCATATTTGGAGAAACTGAGATAACCACTGGAGGTGCTGGGGACTTGCAACAAATTACACAAATAGCAAGACAGGTTAGTATCAACAACATAATTTTTCTGATACAGATATAAAAATCATTGATGGACTTTTACGTAGCAACAATTCGAGTTATTGGGGGAGATGGTTGTTTACCATGTATCAGAGCCAAAGTAACTACAAGGTCATGAATTTGATCCTTACCACCTCCATTTTTTAGTGAAATTAAGTCAGCATAAAGAAAAATAAAAAAAATGGGCATATACAATGTAATATCTGCGCTTCAAGTCCAAAAGACTCTTGTGTGAAAAGTGCATTAGAGAGATATAATATAAAATTACTGAAAGTCCATCACTTAAGCTGCTTGAGCGGTTGAGTTGAATTGATTGTTTATCATTTTCTTTTAGTGGCTGAGAAGAAAAATTTATTTCTGCTGAAAATTTTGTTCTATTTTGCAACAGATGGTAACAGTGTTTGGCATGTCTGAGATTGGACCATGGACATTAACTGATCCAGCAGTGCAAAGTGGTGATGTAGTGCTAAGGATGTTGGCAAGGAACTCAATGTCAGAGAAACTAGCCGAGGATATTGATCACTCAGTGAGGCAGATAACAGAGACAGCATATGAAATTGCAAAGAATCACATTAGGAATAACCGTGATGCAATTGATAAATTAGTGGATGTGCTACTTGAGAAGGAGACTCTTACTGGTGATGAATTCAGAACAATCTTGTCAGAATTCACTGATATATCTTCAATTAGTATAGATAGAACCCCTGTCCGGGAAAAGATCGAAGCATAAGTATAGTTTCAGTGTCAAAAGAATAGAATAGGATGAAATTGTACGTTGAGTATGTAGTATAGAGCGTAGTTCCGAGATAGTATTTTCTTCTTGATAAGTAACATTTCATATCTTGTTTCAAAAGTTGTATCATTGTGAAGTGTGAACCAAAATTTGGGGGTTTGTTTTAATTTTAATTAGTGGCCCAGCAATATGACTTTGAATTTATTTGGTTTGTTTTATGGGAAATCTTTTTCTTATATTGACGTAGATAAGTTATCTTACGTTAGTTAAACAAAATAATAAGAGGGATCTACAAATGATTGAAGAGAACAAAATAAAGGTAAGATTTACTTTTGTTATGTGTGTGTAGAAAGATGATTTATCTCACATTGAATGAGATAAATATAACTATTGTTTTATTGGAGGTAAATAACAAACCAAAACTTTGTGTATGCTTTAGAAATACTCATCGGCAGGGTCAAAGTAATTTAGGTTAGATCAGTTTTTGTGCAAATATGTCTATACTTATTTTGTTAAAATTTGGTTAGACAATGACTTTTTTTAATTATGACTTTTTATTTAAGTTTTAGTTTGATGTTTTGTGAAAAAAAATTCTTCATTGTGTAAAGTGCCAAGGTTTTTTGAACCAAGAAATCTTTCAATCCTAACAGTTTACTTATTGAGAGAAGTCTGTTTAGCTACCATCAAGCTAGAAGTATCTAGAACATGTGTAAAAGTTGTATTGGCTATTGAGTTGTCAATCTTACTTACCAAATTAGAAGAGAATCATGAAGTCTAATCTATATATGAGTTGGAGTTTTATCTTTATGAATTGTACTTAGACATACTTCAAAGTAATGTGAGGTTATTAAAAGTTGTGAAAATCAATTTGCAATCCATAAAGTTGGCATATATCATTCGAACTCGAGTTCCTTTCTTCGAGTATTGGAAAGTTTATCGTTAGATTACTTTTATTTATGAGAAAAGTGTTTATCCTTGTAAATGACATAACTTATATCTTTTCACTTTCACAAAGAGGTGGGATCCACACCTTTATTTTGTCAACTCTCTCTCTTTCTTTATCTATCTCTTTCTCTCTCTTAAAATGACATAATTTTACATCCTTTAAAATGACACACATTTTTCCCTTTATTTATTGAATATAATGTTTGTGATTTAATATTTATTATATATTATTTTGAAATTCGATTAAACTACTGTTCCAATAATATAATATCTCGATCGAGTCGATGATGGATTTAAATTTTAAAATAGTAATATATGGGGCTCTTGTGAGGTTATATGAAAAGAAAAAAATAAATAAAAAATATGAGTTCCATGTACTTTTTTTACCATGAAAATCATAAAACACTACTTATAAATGCTCATCCATTTGTGAAATAAAAAACACATCACAACACTACAGAGTAGAGGTGGCAAAATAGGTCGGCCTGCCCCGACCTGCCTCGCATTTTGATATGGGTTGAAAACCCCAACCCATCCCATTTTGTGATGGGTTGGCGGGTTAGTGGGTCAACCCGCCTAAAAAATAAATAAATTATAAATTATAAATAAATTATATTTTATTAATTTTATAATATTACTTATTTTCATTTCATAATCCCCTTAGTTTTTTTTTTCCAATCTCAAGCCTAAATGTATACTAATATTCAGTCATACATTTTTAGGAACTTATTTTTGCCTCCATATATGGATAATCTTATCATAAATAAAGTTTTTATTCTTTATTTTTTTCTAAGGGAGTACTAAGATAAAAACAATTTCATATCACAAAAGTTTAATAACAAATAAAGTACTACGCAATAGTAAAAAAAAAAAAAAACTAACTTGCGGGCCAACCCGTCTTGACCCACCACCAACCCGTTTTGACCCACAATTAAACGACACAGGTTGAGATGAGATGATGAATTGAAATATACAATCCACCCTGCCCTGTTTTGACGGATTAATCATCGGGTTCAATCCATATTGCCACGTAAATTCAATGAACTAGTACGGTATTTGAAACTGAAAGTAAACATATATGGATAAATTGCCATGTGGATGGATCTATTTGTTCCGCTAAACCAAACTGTGATCCAAAGGTATTGTGGGCTCAAACTGTAGCACATCAACTATTTTACTGTATAACACGTGAATGAATTAATGAGATTCTTTTAACTTAATAAGTGATTTTGAGTGATTTTTTTTTTTTTTTTAAGTTTTTCTTCTTGTTATAAATAGAAGTTATACTAAATAGATTTTTATAAAAAAAATTATAATAAAATAATTTTTTTAATAAAAAAAAGTCAAAAATTAAAAGTTCCTCCTAGGAATTTTTTAAAAGTTATATCAATTTTTTTTTTTGAAATGTACGCTTTTAAATACTTTTTAAGCTAAATTTTTATAACATTATCAAATAGTCTATAACTTTATTTTTAAAGTTTTTTTTTTAATTTTAGCTTAAAAATAATTTTTAAATTAAAAAAAATGCCAAACAAAAAGAGATGTCAAATAGGCTTAATGCAACTGTACTTAATTGGGAGAGTTTTGCTGCCTATATGGTCTTATCCAGCTCAAATCAGATTAATTAAATAATCATGAACCGACAGATAATATTAAAAAAATAATTTTAATGCATTTAAAAAAAATTATTAGAATAGTGCGATATAGGGTTAAAAATTTGGGTTTCTCTTCTTTCACATGAAAAATATAAAATTTTTTGCAGAGACAACTTTTAATGTAGCCCATGTTTCTTTTTTTCAAAAAAGAAAATAAAAAAAATAAAGGCTCAAAATTCCACGAGTCACCAAAGCAGAGTCACCAAAGCATACATTTTATGTGAAATGAGAAATATAATTTATCTGGGTTTCAGGTAAAATTACTGTCTAACAGAATGGACCATTTGCACGATTGACGTGTATGTCCCAGATATTCCCATTGCCACTGCTGCTAATGTTATTGTCACAATGAGTACCGTCTCACACCCAAATTTACTGTAAATTCCTGAAATCTTTAAGTAGCACAAGCATGGAACCATTATCACAAAGAATTATCACTTGAATTAAAAAAAATTACATTATCTCTCTTCCCTAAAATTAAAAAGAGATAAAATAAAAATAATAATCAAATATACATCAAAATAATATCGTATTATTTAAAATAATATAAAATTATATTATTTAAAATGATAAATATTTTTCTCAATTAATTAATAATCAAAATTACAAACTGTGGACTATTTGCATAACTGATGTGTATGTCCCAGATATTGCCATTGCTACAGCTGCTATTATTATGGCCACTATGGCTACCGTCTCAGTCCCAAATTTCCTGTAAATGCCTGAAATCTTTAAGTAGCACAAACATGGAAGCAGAATAGAAGCCGTGACACCTAGTAAAGCTCCAACCAGTGACATGAGATGCCCAAAGAAAGGAAAAGTCAGGGCAGCGATGACAGTGCTGATTACCATGACAGTGCCAATTATGATGTGAGTGACACTATTCTTGTGCTTCCTTGGTATCATATCTTTCAAAGCATTGGTAATCGGTGTTATCATCAAAGCATACTTGGATATGGGACTAACCAAGGCAGTATATATTGCTACACGTGAGCTTAATTTGTTCAGTGGCAGGTTTAAAGTTACCTGTGATTGAACCTCTGAACCAAACATCAGGTAACCAATTATAGCCATGGATGCATAACCAATAGTGGTTAATATAAAGCATACAAGTAGGACCTGCAATGTAAAAAATAAAATTAAATGTCAGAGAGACACAAAATAAATAATTTAAACTCACCCAACACTTAAAGATTTTGGATTGAAGTGGCGCACTCGAAAGAAAAGGGTATTTGAAATATTATTGAATTGTATATAATCTGTACAAAGGGTTTTCTATTTATAGAGAATACTTGACCTAATGGACTTGGCCCAATACAACAAATAAATGACTAAATAATAACTAAATTATTATTATTTACAACACTCCCCCTCAAGCTGAGGAATAGATATTTATCATTCTCAGCTTGCTAGTAAGTTCTTGAAATCTGTCTGAAGGAAGCCCCTTTGTTAATAGATCAGCTAATTGACGCCCAGTGGGAATCTATGGAGCGGTAATCAACCCGCTATCAAGTTTCTCTTTGATGAAATGGCGGTCGACCTCAATATGTTTAGTCTGATCATGTTGAACTGGATTATGAGCTATACAAATAGCGGACTTATTATCACATAGCAGCTTCATAGGTCCCTCACATTTTATTTTGAGATCATCAAGTACAATTTTCAGCCACAGTAACTCACAAATGCCTTGAGCCATAGCTCGAAATTCAGCTTCTGCACTTGATCTGGCAACCACATCTTGTTTCTTACTTCTCCATGTCACCAAGTTACCGCAAAGAAACATGCAATAACCAGTGGTAGAACGACGGTCAGTCACGGATCCAGCATAATCAGCATCTGTGTAGACTTCTAAAGATAGATTGCCAGAATAACAATCCTTTACCAGGAGTACCTTTAAGATACTGAAGAATTCTCTCTACTGCCTGCATGTGTTTTTCCTTTGGATCGTGCATAAACTGACTGACAACACTAACAGCATAAGCTAGGTCTGGTCTAGTATGAGCCAGATATATCAATTTACCAACTAGCCGTTGATATTGTCCTTTATCAACTGGAGGACTCTCTTCTTCATAGCCCATCTTGTGATTCTGCTCAATAGGAGTATTAGAGGGTTTACACCCGAGCTTTCCTGCTTCTTTGAGAAGATCCAAAACATATTTCCTCTGGCTGATAAAAATTTCTTTGCTTGAATGAGCTACTTCTATCCCTAGGAAATATCTCAATTTCCCAAGGTCTTTGATTTCAAACTCAGAGGCAAGCCGTGTTTGCAAAATCTGTCTCTCCACAAAATCATCACCTGTGATAATAATATCATCAACATATACAAGGAGCACAGTAAGCTTCTCATTTTGGGAGTGCTTGAAGAAAAGAGTGTGATCTCCTTGACTCTGTCTGTATCCTAAAGTCAACATAACCTTAGTAAACCTACCAAACCAAGCACGAGGTGACTGCTTCAATCCATACAAGGCCTTTTTTAATCTACAAACTTTATTTCCCCCCTTCACAGAATCAAAACCAGGCGGGATTTTCATGTAGACTTCTTCTTCTAACTCACCATTGAGGAAAGCATTTTTCACATCAAATTGATTTATATCCCAATTATAATGGGCAGCAAGGGATAACAAGATTCTCACTGTATTCATCTTTGCAACTGGAGCAAAGGTTTCTTCATAATCAATGCCATAGGTTTGAGTGTAACCTTTGGCCACTAATCGAGCCTTGTATTTCTCAAGAGTGCCATCAGAATTATATTTCAGGGCATAAACCTATCTGCACCCTACTGCTTTCTTTCCGTTGGGTCTATCAATAACCTCCCATGTTTTATTTTTCTCCAAAGCATTCATCTCCTCTTACATGGCTTGAGCCCAATTCCTATCTTTCAAGGCTTCATGTACTGATTTTGGGATTGCAATAGAGTCTAGTGCTGAAACAAAGCTTTTGTGCTGTACAGAAAGATTAGCAGAGGAAACAAACTGGGAGATAGGGTATTAAGTACAAGAGGGACATGAGGGACAAGATTTCTTGGGACAAGCTCTTTTTCCTTTTCTAAGAGCAATGGGTAAATCATCAGAATCAGTAGTAATGGGTAAGTCATCAGAAGTATTAACATCATGATCAGAAATATGAGATTCAGGACTTACCAGTGGTTCAGATGATTGAGGTTGCTGCTGAGACAATGTGAGTTGTTTCCTTCTTTCAGGTGTCATAATCTTTCCTATCTCTGGTGTACTTGATGTATCAATCACAGGAGAATCAGTCACAGGAGGATTACTCACAAGAGGATCAGACACAGGAGGAACAGACACAGAAGGAACAGGACCAGGTGGAGGATACACTGACATAGCTAAAGGAGTAGACACTGATGATTCAAACTCAAGGAAAGGAGGTGATGAGATTTCTGGTGAAGGATTCTCCCCCTGAAGATGAGGACCTTGGAAAAAGGACTCAGATTCCTGAAATGTAACATCCATAGAAACAAAAAAATTTCCTACTACTAGGGTGATAGCACTTGTAGCCCTTCTTATCAGGAACATAACCAAGAAAAACACATTTAATAGCCCTAGGGTCCAACTTACTGCGATGATGTTTATGAACATGAACAAAATCAACACACCCAAACACTCGTGGAGGAAGACTCATCATAATTGGAATATAAGGGAAAAAAGAAGTCATAGAGTGAATAGGAGTTACATGGTCAAGTACCTGAGTGGGTAAACGGTTGATCAAGAATGCTACAGTAAGAATAACATCTCCCCAATAGTATTTGGGTACATGTGTCTGAAACATTAATACACGAGCCACTTCAAGAAGGTGACGATTTTTTCTTTCAGCAACCCCATTCTGTTGGGGGGTGTCAACACAAGTAAGTTCATGAATCATACCGTTATTTCTTATAAATTGGGAAAAACTGTGATTAACATATTCAGTACCATTATCTGTTCTTAGTCTCTTGATTTTTTTACCAAACTGGGTCTCAATCATTTTATAAAATTGAAAGAACAGTTGTGGTACCTCAGACTTTTCACGCATTAAGTACACCCAAGTTACACGAGTGCAATCATCAATAAAAGAAACAAACCATCTATTTTCAGAAGCAAGAGGGACCCCAAACATCAGAATGAATAAGATCAAAAGGTTCAACACTCTTAGTAATACTAGAAGGAAAAGACACACGATGATGCTTAGCAAATTCACAAACATCACAATGAAAAGACTCAACAGATTTAGACAAAAACAATGACGGAAATAAAGATTTGAGTAAACTAAATGGAGGATGACCTAAGCCCTTATGATGAAGCCAAATCAAAGAATCAGCAGTTGATTGACCATGAGACATTAAGATGTGATCTATTACTTTATTTGCAGGAGATTGTGACACCAGATAGTACAGCCCACCTTGCTCTTTAGCACTACCAATCATCTTCCCCGTGGCGAGATCCTAAAAAACACGATGGGTAGGATAGAAGTTTACAGTACAATTCAAATCTTTTGTAATTTTATGAATAGAAAGAAGATTTGTGGAGATTTTAGGAACATGAAGAACATCCTTAAGATGTAAGGACTGCTGTACGTTTATGTCACCAGAACCCGCAACTGATGTATGAGAGCCATCAGCTACGGCTATTGTATGAGTTCCAATGGTAGGATGATAAGAAGTAAAGGAGTCAGCACAACAAGCCATATGATCAGTAGCACCAGAATCAACAATCCAAGAATGTTTAAAATCATTACATGAAGAAAGGAAAGAATAAGTTTTGGAGCTCATACCAGTCATAGGCAAAGCACTAGTATCAGATGGCTTACTCATAGAATCAAGAATGGTTCGGAGCCGTTCCAACTCATCTGGACGAAAAGCAGGTTGGGTCTCATTAGGTGCAGAAGTTATTTTAGTAAAATGCGGTTGACCACGCAACCTTGCCATATTTTCTAAGACAGTTTGCTTTCGATAAAAGAGAAAGCATAAATCCTTGATATGACATGTTCTTTTACAATCAGAACACCATCGATCATCTCTCTTAGGTCTAGAAGAGGTACCATCATAAAATTTTGAAAAAGAACCGCTTTGAGAAGAGGCCATACTGCACAGAAAATGGTCAAAGAAAAGCTCCAAGAAGCCAAAAAATCACAAAACAAATACCAAACGACGTCCGATCTGAGAGGAGAGCACAGATCCAGAAAGAGGATGAGGAGAAGATCAGAAATTTTTTTGGCCAGAGCTGGAAAAAGTGGCCGACGCGCCTCCACGCGCCGGTGGAGTTGTCTGCGAGTGGGCCTCACTCGCCGGGAGTGTGGCGGCGCGTGAGAGCGCGTGCGGAGGCTGCCGGAGCTGAAATTTCGGCGGCAAGGTCGTCCGACGGTCTCGAACCTTTCTGTGGCCGGTAGGAGTTGAAAGGTCGCCAGAAAAGTGTCCAAAACGCGATGAACAGTAGCGGCCTTGTGTTGTTTTGGGAAGATCCGGTCGTCAAACGATTATAACACGTCCGTAAGCTGATAGATCAGAGAAAAAGGATTTGAAAACTGGTCCTCTTGGTCCAAAAGGTCCACCAGAAAAATTTTCCGGTGGCGGCTAATGGCAGCAAGAGGCTAAGAAAGAAGGTTTCTGTTTTAACGGAGGTAATTGCGGAAGCAGAGCCCTCTGGATCGAGAGCTCTGATACCAACTTGAAAGAAAAGGGTATTTGAAATATTATTGAATTGTATATAATCTGTACAAAGGGTTCTCTATTTATAGAGAATACTTGACCTAATTTTAACCTAATGGGCTTGGCCCAATACAACAAATAAATGACTAAATAATAACTAAATAATTATTATTTACAACAGGCGCTTTATATGGTATCAGAACTTCAGTGACCACAAAGTCACGAGTTCGATCATCACCGCCTCCACTTTCAGGTGAAATTAAGAAAAGCACGCTCTTGTGTGAGGGAGTGTGTTAGAGAGATACAAAATAAATAATTTAACCTCACCCAGGACCTTAGGGTGTGTTTGGTACAGGAGAAATTTTTTGGTGACCGGGAATCATGATTAATGGGAATTCAGTAGAAATTGAGTTTACTTGGAATCTTACGAAAGATGTGTTTGGTTCGCCAAAATATTACCGGGAATACTGGGTAAAAATTACTGATTCCATATTTGGTTTAGAACGAAATATGACTTGGAATATGAGCTTATTTTACAAAAATAACCCCAAACTATTTTTACTTTTGTAATTGATATATTGAGTCTAGATTTTTATGTGTATTGAGGTATTTTTGTCTCAAAATTTATTGTTGTGCTTTCCCTTTACTTGGTATTCTAATTGGTATTCCGAATTACCATATTATTTTTGGTAATCTGAATAGTGACTTTTCTTTATAAATCAAATTACCGGTAATCCTTGGATATCCGGGAATCGTAATTTATTCCTTCTACCAAACGTGGTAATTACATTTACCAAAGAAGGATTACCGGTAATCCTCTCCAAAAACTTGAACCAAACACCCCCTTAGGGTCTTGGGTTGAAGTAAAGTTTTACAAAAAAATTGAATTGATGTGAGACAAAGAAAGAAATCAGAAGCAAAACACAACCAAGAAAAAAATATTAAAGCACTTACACTAGAAAATTGGTGCTTGCTTCTCATGGAATTGTACAAGGTGGGAAAGACTGGTTGTGCACAAAAACAAAAGGCATACAAGCTAACAGCTGTGGGGATTCCATTCCAATTAACAAGAGTTCCCTTTTGATGAAAACCAACTCCATCCATTGTTGCCGTCCATGATACTGAGAATATGATTATAGCACAAGCAAACACTCCACTTGCTGATATATAAGAAAGTAGACTCAAGTTATCCAACCAAACTGTAGGCAAGATAATAAGGGCAACCATTATCACAAAGAATTGATTTCCACCAATTGTTAAACCAGCTACTTGAAGCTTCATATCAGGGAATAAATTACTCAAGTTATCCCCTTCTAGAATCAAGAACCCTGTTACAACTAAGTAGAGCTCCGTGTACATGGATACAGATACTAGTAATCTTCCTGTTTTTCCAAATGCAAGCTCACCTATATCAGGATAGGTTCTAATCTCAGAATCATTATCCATACATTTTTTAATCAACAAGCCTGTGTAAAAGGCTACAGCTGCAACAGCAAACAGGAGAGTTAAGCTTAACCAACCCCCAGATGCCAGAGCATATGGAACCGAGAGTATCCCAGCACCTGTAAACCAAAGCAACATAGAAACATTAGCATTTCATAAGTTTCTGTTTCAACAGAACAAACATGCATGCTTGAGGAATAATGGCAAATAAAACATGGCAAACTGAGAATGATGTACTGCTATAGAAAATTAGAAATATTGTTAATTCAAGACGAACGTGTAATTAAAAATGTCCTAAGATCTAAATGACATTATATAACATAGCAAATTATGGGGATTTTTAAAAAAAAAAAAATTATAGATATATATCATTAAGAGTTTTTCTATGAAGACGGTTACAAATGATGAGTAACAATTATGAGAAATAAAGTTAACTGTTGCAGGTCTTATGAGATAAATTGAAGTCAATTTGTGCGGATCCTAAAAAAATATTGATGCTAAAAATATGTACACTTTCATACAAACAATTTCAGTTTGCAATAACATCAATTTTTTTCAAAACACTGTTGGTCGAGGGAAATCTCTTATTTTAAATTTAACTCTTTTGCTGATGCAAACATGTCTGAGCGTGATTGGGTTGAAAGAAATTTTTTTTTTTTCTCATTTTGTATTCTTTTTTTCATTTTTAATTTTTAAAATTGAGAATCATATTTGGTTGACATGATGACATCAGTCACATGAGTTATAAAGTTTACATTTAACTTATCCCCCTTAGCTCATATTAGAAAAAGGTCCAACAGGATTCAACTAGCGTGAGAAGGGGCCAACAAAAAATTAGGGTTGTTCTCACTTTATAAGGTTTAACATTTTTATGATAAAATTATTTTTTACATATTTAAAAATATATCGGCTCACATGTGACTATACGAAGAGAAAAAAATATATATATATATAACTACCACGTATAATAGAAAAGTCTGTTGTAAACGAAGGCCACTCATTTTTTTGTGAATCTCACGTCTAGAATTACAAAATAATTTTTATCGAAACGAGATTTTCTTCTTAAAACAATAAAAGAGGGACTGAAATGATTCGATCTGAGAGAAGGAATCAAAAGGAAAAAAGCTTTAACTAACAGTGGATTGCTTTTCCGTCTATGACAACAAGTAATCGGAGGTTGGTTTCATCGAACTGCACCACAAATATCTTCAGAAATCTCAGGTTTTGTGTAATCAAATAATTAACAAAAGGAAGGAAGAAAAATAATATAATTACAATAGGATCTTATAAAAAATAAATCTTAGTTTAACTCTAAGAATATATATATATATATATATATATATATATATATATATATATGTATACTGTAAAACCGAAAAATTGTTCATCCTAACAAAGAGTTTTACATGGATTAATTATGCCAAATAGACAGAAGGGTAGAAGACAAAGGATTGGGAGAGTGATATTATTAAAGAGAGAATAATCAGCAATAAAAACATGGGAAATACCTGCCAAAGCATTGAGTCCATTGAAACAGGTGTTGATGAAAGACGCGGTGCCATAGCTGGGATCATGAATAGAATTTTGGCTTCTTTCAAGCAAGTGTTGGTTTTGGTCAATAATTAAGGGTGTGTTAACGGTGACATTATCATCACACAGCTCGCCTTCCATTGGTGCTGAAAGAAGAAAGAGAGAGATAGAGAGATAGTGTGTGTGTGTGTGTGTGTCTAGATATTAGGTCTGTCAGCTAGTTAAATAAAGGAAAGAAGAACTTTAATGTTTTTCATATATATAATATCCAAAAACACTTTTAGACCACGTGCAAAACGAGCAGAGGGCGAAACGTTTTAACACTACTAGCACTAGCATTCATCGTCGATACGGAAGTTGTTGGAGGACAACCCCATAATGGTCCAGGTTCAGGTAGAGGACCAAAAAATTTAACACCGTGACAAAGCCAGAAAGGTCTACGGTCTACCTAAACCGTCTTTCTTCTCTGGAATTATATTCATCATGTTATAGCAACCAAATCTTTTGACAAAAAAATAAGATTAATTTATTGAATAAAATATTATCTTATTATTTTATTATTATATATCACTTTCTTTAACATAACAAAAAAGTTAGTTCTAAGAGATATAATCCATATATATATATATATAGATGGAATGTTATATTTATAAACTTTTTATTTACAAACTACATTATGTACGCTTGAAAGTACACTAGATTATACATTATGTCCTTCCGGGATTACATAGTGTAATTTGAAATTTTTACAAAAATATTTGTAATCGAATCCTTCAATTCTCTCTCTCAATATATATATACATATATATATATATATATATATATATATATATATATATAAAGAGAGAGAGAGGAGTAGGACCCTTTGACATCAGTGTCAAATTTAAAATTTGACACCTCATCTGAGAGTCGTTACATAAAAAAAGATCAATGGTGTCACATGCTTACAAATCAGAGTCGTTGATCATTTTTGATCTAACGACTCTCAGATAAGGTGTCAAACTTCAAATTTGACATCGGTGTCAAATGATCGTACCTCATATATATGCTTACATATATGAGGTAGGATCATTTGACACCGGTGTCAAATTTGAAGTTTGACACTTTATCTGAGAACCATTAGATCAAAAAAGATCAACGACTCTATTTTGTAAGCATGTGATATTATTGATCTTTTTTATCTAACAACTTTCACATGAGGTGTCAAACTTCAAATTTAACATCTTTGTCAAAGGATCTTCTATATAAATATATATATATATATATATATATATATATATATATATGCGTTTTATAATTCTTATTTAACATGAGAATTTAAATTTTCCTACACACCCTTCGATTTCCGTGCTGACATGGGTCCTACATATAATTTTTTCTAACACATGGGTCCCACATGCTTTTTATCTCTACAACATGAGAATTGAATTCTTATTTAACATGAGAAAATTAAAACCCAATAAAGTAAGTATAACTAACATGTTTCTAAGAATTTATTTGGATGTTATTGAGAAAATTAATTTTTTATTGCTTGATTTTTTATGATAATTTTGTTCAATAAAAATTAAAATTATTTTACATTTTGATTGAGTACATAAAAATTATTTTTAAGTTAAACAATTACTTGGATATTAAAATTGATAAACATATTTTATATATAAAATTACTTAAAAGGATATATAATTGTACTTGTGAAGCAAATTTGAATTTTCATAAAAGTATTTAACTTTTGACTTATGCTTTTTTTCAAAACAAAAAATTCTGATTTATAAAAAGCGTTATTTTATTTTTTTGAAATTTTATATTTTAAAAAAGTTGCATTTGAATGTACATATTAAATAAAAATATTTTTTGTTACCAAAAAAAATTTACTTTGAAAACAAAACTGCTTTTTTGGGGAGAAAAAGCCCACCCAAATGTATTCTAAGATGAGAAAGATAAAATTAAATATAAAGGTAAATTATTCTAATTAAATTAATTAAATCTCACATATACTCAAGCTCAAAATATTCCCCCAAATATTAGTACTAACAAAATAAGTCAAATTTATTACTATTCAATATTTGAACAATATGTTACAATCAAATTTGATTCTTTATTTAAATTGGTTTTTGATCGGAATCTCCTATATTTTAAAGTGATGCTTGGTTCCGAGTACTTTTAAATAGAAAAAGTATTTTAATGTTAAAATTAATAAGTATTTTTAGATATAAATTACTAAAAATAATATATGATAGTAGTGATGGTAGGTAGTTCGATCTAGTGTTCGGAATTAGGGTAAATTTAAATTTTAAAAAAAAAAATTAATTTTTGGCTTCTACTTTTATTAGAACTTAGAAGCAATGAATTTGACTTTAAAAAAATATCATTTTTATATTTTTAAAATTTTATTTAGTAACCAAACACATAAAATTATTTAGAATATATTATAAAAAATAAAAATTATTTAGAAGGACTTTTTAAAAAAATAACATTTCTAAAAAAAATAAAAAAATCCTATCCAAACGAAAATTTCATAGATTATAAATTTGATTGAAACTAATTTTTTGAATCAGCCCACTGAGTACTCACTTATATTTCTTCCATTGAACTACTACAGTTGTACTGATTTGGACTTGGATAAAATCTCTCGAAGCCGTATCATTACTTGCAGCATTGATTCTGTGGTACTGGATCACATCCTTCCTTAATTAAATAGAGGATAAAATGAAAAAATTGATAAAAACAGCAAGGGCAAAATGGAAAAATTATGTGAGAGGAAACACAAAATTTTAATATGGTCGGACCATATTAAAATTTTCCCATTACTTGCGTCAATTTATTAAAAAACAAAAAACAAATTGCCTCTTGCACTTCTAGGATGTGCATCACAATCTTTTCACAATTAATTTTTTTTTATTTCTGTTTTCAGGAAAAGAAATGGATAGAAAACTTGTTTCGTAAAATCAGTTTATTTTTATATTCTCGAGATGAATCAGTTTAATTTTTGTGCTGGAGAACAAAAAAAAGAATCAGAAAATTTCTATTTTTTTTGTTCCCGGGCACAAAATGAGAAACACTTATCTCTTCCAATCACTCTCCTCCTCTACCATCATCACCACCACCTTCATTCTGACACGACCACGATCACCATTGTCGCCGCCGCTGTCGTACCACTAGTGTCGTCGTCACCACCCCCACCACCACGATGTCACCGCCACCATCACCACCACCTCCACCTATCACTATCATCATGCCATCGTCACCACCACCACAACTACCACGGCCGCCGCCACCACTATCACCATAACCATCACCACCACGATGCCACTGCCACCATCACTCACCACCTCCACCATGCCACCGTCACCACCACCACAACTACCGCCACCGCCATAGCCACTGTCACCACTACCACCACCACCATGATGCCATTACAACCACCACCACCATGCCATCGCTACCATTGACGCCGCCACCACCATTGTCGCAGCCACTACTGTCACCAC